AAGACTGATGTATACAGGGTCATTTATGTTCCCAGATCAAGGAGTTTAGGATTTTTTGTATTTTGTTGTGATAGGAGAGTATAGGGACCGGGAGAGTTCTGAAGGTATAAAACGTGTGGTAGGAGGAACATTTTAGTGAGTGCTATTCGTCCTGCCCATGAGGTTTTAGTCCTTTTTAGGTTGGAGATAATTTGTTGTAGTTTCGTGTTCAGGAGTTCCACATTGGCACGCAATAGAGCAGAGGAGGGGGAGGTTAATTGTATCCCTAGATATGACAACATTGAGTTGTGGGCCCATGAGAAATGCGCTTTCTGTGAGATCTCGTCTTTGATAGCGTGAGTAAGGTGGATGCCAATCATTGCTGATTTAGAGTGATTACCCTTATAAAGTGGGACTCATCCGAATTCTGCTAGTATCTGAAGTAACGCAGACATAGATTGGGAAGGGTTGGATAAATAGACAATAATCAGTGATCTGCGTATAGGCTTATTTTATGATAAACAGACCCTATATTAACTCCAGTGATTAGTGCATTGGCTCTGATTGTGGCAGCAAGGGGTTCGATTACCATAGCAAAGATAAGTGGGGATAATGTGCAGCCTTGCCTCATACCATTAGTGATATGTAGTAAGTCTGATAGATAGCCCCCTGTCCAGATTTTAGCTGTGGGAGAGGAATAGTGGCCCATATTGGCCTGAAGGAAGGTACCCGTCAGCCCAAACTTTATCAGGACTTGCTCCAGGTACTTCCAATGCACCCTAAAGAATGCCTTCTCTGCATCCAAAGAGATGAAAAGAGAAGGCATCCGACAATGTTCAGTCCACTGAAGTAGGTCTATAAACCTGCATGTGCCATCCAAGGCTTGTCTGTTGGGGATGAACCCGACTTGATCAGGGTGTATCAAGGACAGGATGTGGGTAGCCAGGTGGGAGGCTAAGAGTTTCACGTAGAGTTTCAGGTGGTGTTGAGTAATGAAATAGGTCGGTAGTTATCAGGGTCATCAAAACCTTTGCCTGCTTTGGGGATGGTAATTATGAGAGCTTCCAGGATTCTGAAGGAATTTCACCAGTCACCATAAATCTATTTAGGGAGATGCATAGATGGGGAGCTAATAGTTCTGCAAAGATCTTGTAGTATTCATTGCAAAACCCTTCTGGCCCCAGGCTTTTGTGTAGAGGTAGGGATTTAATGGCTGCTCAAAGCTCATGTTATGTGAAAGGCCTGGCTAATTGGTCGCATCATGCGGGGGGTCAATGAGGGTAGCTGAATTGCGGATAAAAAGGACTGAATGGTCGAGTCTGGGGGTGTCGCAGATAGGGTGGTAATGTTGTAGAGTTTGAGATGTCAATAGGATTAATACATCGTTTGCCTTGCGGATTTGTGTATGGCCTTTTTTCTATGAACTGTACCCTATATGCACTTTAATGGTATTGAGGTTTTGTGATAAGAATAAGTCACAGCAGTTGATTTACTAAAGGCGAATAGACTGTGCACTTTGCAAAGTGCAGTTGCACTCTGCAAGAGCAGTTGCTCCAGAGCTTAGTAAATAAGGTAAAGATTCACTTTGCAAAGAATACCCAATCACATGCAAGGAAAAATAGAAAAAACTACATTTTTGCTTGCACATTATTGGATAATGGAGGTCCGTAGAGCTTCTGCTCATTTACTAAGCTCTGGAGCAACTGCTCTTTTGCAAAGTGCACAGTTTATTTGCCTTTAGTAAATCAACCCCTATAACTTTCAGACAGACCAAATAATATACACAGATTTGGGTTATTTTTACCAAAGCAATGTAGCAGTATACATTCTGGCCAAAATGTGTGAAGAAAAAGTACTTATTTGCTAAATTTTATAACAGAAACAAAGAAAATATTTTATTTATATATAGCACAACAAATAAAAAACCCAGTATTGATTAAAGCTCTATTTCTGTGAAAAAAGGACAACAATTTCATATGGGTACAGTGTTGCATAACTGAATAATTGTCATTCAAAGTGTGAGAGCACTGGAAGGTGAAAATTACTCTGGGAAGGAAGGGGTTATAAGTGCCCAGTAGGCAAGTAGTTAGACTGTCACCTTTAAAAAAAATTACTCTTCTGTTACCCAACAGCACTAGAATCAAAAAGCCAATCCTACTGCTAAACCTGCCCTGAATGAGCCCTCTTAAATCTCAGTACACTGAATCAAAAGAACCAAACTACAGCCAAAACAGCCCTGAATGAGTCCTCTTACATTTCAGTAACTGACACTTACTGAATAACCTGCACCAGTAATGCCTTATGTGCAGATACATGTACGTGTACACGAAAGTCAGGAAAGCCATAGATAATGAAAATGCATTTTTAGGATTTTTCTGAAGAATTTTACTAATAAAACATACTAGCTGCAATTAAACAGAAGTGCATCATGTGTAAAGATTGTTGTGGATGTGGAGTCTTGGAAGGTGTCTAAAAAAGAAAAGAAAAATCATGAAGTTTGTCTATGTTACCCATTACAAAGGCCAAGTGTGTGTGTGGTGTATTGGTGTGAAGGATAAGCACTTACAGTTAGATGAGCTGATCTAATCTGGTGGTGCTGTGGTGGTGTCTGTAGAGCCATACAGCTACTTTCTCATCTTGTAGAATTTGCTTGGGAAGAAGAAACAAAAAATTAGCTTGATATGACATGACCTCCGACTCCCCACACCCAAGTTCCCTTCCCCACAGTAACAGTTGCATAAAAATAGACATTCGAAAACAAGTGTCTATGCATACAAGAGGACAGAGCTGCAAGAAAACGGATCCAATCCAGATGGACTGGAGGCAGTGCCAATGGCTGGTCAATAGTGGGTGGCTTCAGTCTGGGAAAGCCTAACAGAACAAAAATAGAGAAAGAGAAAAGCAAACTGCAAAGCAGATAATTTTCTTATGAAAGCACACCACAAAAACATTTTCTAATTGCTTACTGGATTGAAGCCAAAGGGAATGCTTCAGGAGTTGCGGCAGACAGAAAGGCCATAGTTCTTGATGGTAGCGGCAGTGGTGGCACTGTCGTATGGGAGCTAGCGTGATTGGGAGTACACAGTCCAGAGAAATTTCAATCTACCAGCACAAAGAAAAAAAGACTAAAAGGGGCTGGCCAAAAACACGGAACTAAGTGCACACAAAATGCCTAAAATAATCTCACTGGTGGCAGCAGTTTAGTAGTAGAGAAATTCACAATCACACATACACTATAGTTGAATGGCGACTACAATGTGGTCGCCCAGTCCTGGGAGGGAGTCTATTGATGTCTTCCAGTGATTGTGCTTCCTACGTGCTCCCTGGAGCATGCAACCAGAAGTGTCCATGATTGCTATGTCCCTTGGACACAACTCATCACGGATTAGGGTAATCAATTAAAGCAGCCCTTTACCACATGATCACTATGTCCAATGACAAGCAATCACATACACTATATTGCCAAAAGTAGTAAGAGCAGACAAAGCAATATGTTTCCCTAGTAAAGCACATGCAGCACACATAGTACAACAGCACACATCACACAGTTAACCCTTTGATCGCCCCAGATGTTAACCTCTTCCTGCCCAGTGCAATTAGTACAGTGTCAGTGCTTTTTATTAGCACTGATCACTGTGTTAGTGTCACTGGGGATGTCAGTGGCAGTTAGTGAGTTCCCCCCCAGTGTCAAAATGCCCGCTACAGTCCCGTAGTCCCGCTACAAGTCGCTGACCACCGCCATTACTAGTATAAAAAAATAAAAAAATAAAAATTCCAGTATATACACCGCCATTTATAGACACAATAACTTTCACGTAAACCAATTAATTTACATGTATTGGGATTTTTTTTTAGCAAAGACATGTAGCAGAATACAATTTGGCCTAAATTTTATGATACAATTTGATTTGTAAAAATTTTTTTACTGGATATGTTTTATAGTCAAAAACATTGTTTTTTTTTTTTTTAAATGTCGGTCTTTTTTTGTTTATATCGCAAAAAATAAAAAACCACAGAGGTGATCAATTACCACCAAAGAAAGCTCTATTTGTGGAAAAAAATGACATACTGTCAATTCAATTTGGTTGCAGCATTGCATGACCATGTAATTGTCACAAAACATGGCCTGGTCAGGAAGGGGGGTAAATCCTCTGGAGGGCAAGTGGTTAACAATGAAACAAACCCATCCAACACCAGTAAACAGAAGACGCCGCAAAAGTTAAGATATACTGTACAGTACATTAACCAAAACACCTAACTAGCAATCTAACTATAATACAATGATGATACATGTATACACAATAGGGAACAAAGATAAACAGGGTAAGACAGGAGCTGCAAGGAACTGGATAGGGAAGGAGGAAAGAACTGGGATCAGGAACAAGGGGAGCAGATATGAAGTAGCAGGGCACAGAATACAGGTAATGGAACAAAATCACAGCAGAAATCAGGATTACGGTCAAAGCAGTACATTGATAAACGGGCAGACAGCATACTGTTATATTATTATATTATTAAGTTATGCATTATTTTAGTAGTGAAAACATTCTTTCATGTTTCAGCTGTCAACGGGATTACCCACGGACAGCTGAATGTAAAAAGAATTGCCCAGCATTGCCTGCAATCAAAAAATAAAAATAAAAACGCATGGGTTTGGGGAGTGCCCCCCAAAATCCATACCAGACCCTTATCCGAGCATCCAGCTCAGCAGGTCAGGAAAGGCGTCATATGACGTCCTCCCATTCTAACTGTGCATGCGCGGGACACAGCGGATCACCGATCCACAGAAAGAGCCGAAGATGATGGCTCGGTCATGTGATCAGCTGTGTCCAATCACAGCTGATCACATGTAAACAGGGAAATGCTGGTTATCGGCATTTCTCTCCCCCCACGAGCTGTCACGCTGACAGCTCGAGAGGAGAGGAAAGCCGGTAATCGGCATTCCTCGGAGGGAACATGTACACTGATCATTAGAGTACTGATGATCAGTGTGCCCTGATGATCTGTGTAGCCCCAGCAGCGCCATCTGTCAGTGTCCATCAGTGCCAGCTCTCAGTGCTCATCCATGCCACCTGTCAGTGCCATCAGTGCCACATCAGTGCCACATTTCAGTGCCCATCAGTGCCACATCAATGCCACATATCAGTGACCATCTGAGCTGCCTTTCAGTGTCATGCATCAGTGCCAGTCAGTGCCACCTATCAATGCCAGTCAGTGCCAATCAGTGCCGCCAATCAGTGCCGCAGTGCCGCCTATCAGTGCCAGTCAGTGCCGCCTATCAGTGTGCATCAGTGCTGCCTATCAATGCCGCCTAACAGTGTCAGTCAGTGACACCTAACAGTGCCAGTCAGTGCCGCCTATCAGTGCCACCTATCAGTGCCATATATGAGTGCGGCCTTTCAGTGCCCATCAGTGATGCCTGTCAATGCCCATCTGTGCCACCTACCAGTGCCTCCTCATCAGTGCCCATCAGTGCCACCTATCAGTGTCCATCAGTGGAGCCTATCAGTGCCCATCAGTGCAGCCTCATTAGCGCAAATCAGTGAAGGAGAAAAATCACTTATTTACAAAATTTTATAATAAAAAAACTAAGAAAAAACGTTTTTTTCTTTCAAAATTTTCTGTGGTTTTTGGTTTGTTTAAGAAAAAATAAAAAACCCAGAGGTGTTTAAATACCACCAAAATAAAGTTCTATCTGTCACAAAAAAATGATAAAAATTTCATATGGGTACAGTGTTGCATGACCGCGCAATTGTCATTCAAAATGTGACAGCGCTGAAAGCTAGAATTTGGTCTGGGCAGGAAGGGGGTATAAGTGCCCTGTAGGGTAGTGGTTAAAGAAGATCTATGTATTTCTTTTTTTAACACAAGGGCAGCCATAACACATCGTGCATGTTTTGTCACTTTTTTGTCATAATAATCTCAATGGACTATAAATCTAAGTTTTGAGATGTCTTTACCTGCCCTTCCATCTTTCATCTTCTACTGTGGACCTCCTGAGTCCTGACTAGAGTTTGGGGTGCTTTAAAATCATTATTGAAAATGTCAGGCTTCCTTGAATTTACCCCCTTATGGCTTAACTCGGTATACCCGGAACTAGGCAAACTAAAGGGAATGGAGGAAAAGGGCATGTTCTGTCTTGCTCAATTGTAGATAGGCAATATATTGAAATCTTATGACCAATTATGATCTGCGTTCTTGCTGTCTCATAAACAATTTTATCAATACCTGCAACTCCAACATGTGCTTCAGACACAGAAACGCACTCGAGTGCTGCATAGGTCAGACTCCCCGTTAGTTACTGAACTGGTTTCTGCTACAGAGAAGAGAGGGTTTATCTCCTGTATATTTACATGGCTTTTCTCCTCCATTCAGGATTCCACTAAACATAGGAATAGGGTGGCTTGAACTGAGGATGCAGGAGAGATTAGTGGTGAGCATAGGGATATGGCCTTGGAATCAATTCCTTCCATTTCCCTGTCAGCCTCCCATAAACTATCCCAACTTTTTATACTACATCGGGCCTATAGAACCTCTATTAGATAAACTGTTTGATTGGAGTAGGAGAGATACACCTTTATGTCCTAAATGTTACTCACATAGAGGAAATTTCATTCATCCACCCAAAACTCACACACTACTGAACTAAGTTTGTACATAATATCTCTTTAGTTACTCAAATTACTATTCCCACTGACCCACTAGTGTGCTTACTGGGAGCTCTGCATTCCAAACTGTATCAACCTTGTACCTATATTATGACTTCCAATGTTCTGTTCTTAGCTAGAAAACTGATTGCTATATACTGGATGGCTCTCACTGCATTGACGGTGGAACAATGGGTAGAATATGTCAACTCTCTACTATTAAGAGAACACATAGCCTATCGTCACCACAATGCCATGCATAAATTTAAATTCGTTTGGCAAGGTGGCTAGATATCACCTTGCCCCACCACAGTTAGTGATGGATAGGTTTCTGCTAATCTGAGTACTGCTGATAATACTATAAACAATTATTTGCTCTAGTTAGAGCCACTTGCTGGAAACTGTTTAGTTACAATCATTTATGTTACTTGGAGCTCTTGTCCATAATATGCTTAGTATTGACACAGATCCAGATGTTCCACATTGGCTCACAATTGATATGATCCAAAAATATTTAGACAGTATAAAGGTGAATAAAGCACCTGGACTGGATGGCATACACCCACAGGTTCTTAAGAATTGAGCTCTGTCATTCAAAGCCATTGTTTCTAATTTTTAGGAATTCTTTAATGACTGGCATAGTACCACTGGATTGGCGTAAGGCCAATGTGGTGCCAATATTTAAAAAGGGGTCAAAATCTTTACCAAGTAATTATAGACCTGTTAGTTTAACTTCTATAGTTGGGAAATACTGGAGAGTTTAATAAAAGACCACATAGATGAGTTCTTGCTGGAAAAAAAATATTTTAAGCAACAGACAGCATGGATTCCTGAAAGACAGAAGTTATCAAACAAATCTGATTTCTTTTTATGAGGAGGTGAGCAAAACCTTGGAAAGAGGGGTGGCGGTGGACGTGATATACTTGGATTTTACAAAAGCGTTTGACACAGTTCCCCACACACGGCTAATGTGTAAGGTAAAGTCTACGGGCTTGGAAAAATCCATATGTAAATGGATAGAAAACTGGCTAAAAGATTGTATTCAAAGAGTAGTAGTTAATGATTCATACTCTGAATGGTCTAGGGTTGTCAGTGGTGTACCCCAAGGTTCAGTGTTGGGACCCTTACTTTTTAATATATTTATAAACGATATAGGGTCTGAGATTAAAAATACCATTTCAGCCTTTGCAGATGACACCAAGCTGTGCAGTGGAATAATGTCCTTACAGGATGTCTTCAATTTACAAGCTGACCTCAATGCACTGTTTAATTGGGCAACTATGTGGCAAATGAGGTTTAATGTTGATAAATGTAAAGTTATGCACTTGGGGGCTAATAATATGCATGCATCATACATACTAGGGGGAGTACAACTGGGGGAATCAATGGTGGAGAAGGATCTGGGAGTTCTGGTAGATCACAAGCTAAATAATGGCATGCAATGCCAAGCAGCAGTTTCTAAAGCAAGCAAAATCCTCTCTTGTATTAAAAGAGGTATAGACTCCAGAGAGAGAGATATCATATTACCCCTGTACAAATCATTAGTAATACCTCATCTGGAATATGCAGTTTAGTTTTGGGCACCAATTCACAAAAAGAACATTGGGGAACTGGAGAAAGTACAGAGAAGGGCAGCCAAACTGATACGAGGCATGGAGGAGCTCAGCTATGAGGAAAGATTAGGGGAACTGAATTTATTCTCTCTTGAGAAGAGGTGATTAAGGGGGGATATGATCAACATGTATAAATACATCAGTAGTTCATACAGTGAACTCTGTGTAGTTATTTACCCTGAGGTCATCACAGAGGACAAGGGGGGTACTCTTTACGTCTGGCGGAAAAGAAAGGTAATCTGCCAACAAGGAAAGGTTTCTTCACAGTGAGAGCTGTGAAAATGTGGAATAGACTGTGATGATCATGGCGTCAAACCCCAGGCCTTCTCACCAAACTCGTGACCGAAGGACTAGCCAATCTAAAACCGCGCTGTCACGTGCGTAACAATGCCACGCCCAGCTGCACCCTGCACACAGATTTTCCAGCTAATGGACCACAATCTGTGTATCTGCAGCCTGAGAGCGATTGTTACTGGGTCAGGTTAATTACGCAATTAAACCTTCACACTGCCACCACCTCCTTTTTGTACAGAGAAAGAGGAAGCTCTGCAATATTTGCTATAACACTATGATGTTTGAATAATCGTCGGTATACCACTGTCACCACTGGCAGAGATATACTGAAGTTTAAAACACACACATAATAGCGCTCTTCAGAGGCAGGAATTCATAGTTTGCATTAAAGAGCATTAGAAACAGTTCAACACTTTCAGAAAGTAAGATTTATTACTAAAAAGGTCAAAAGGGTGCAATAAAAATATTTACAGAAAAAGATGTAGCCAATATATATATAAATATACAGAAAGCAATAGCACAGCAAAGAGATAACAGAAAGGAGTTTAGAGGATTAAAGTACTTGCCGAATGTCCTGGTTTAAGCAGATCAGGTTTCATGAGCCAAAAGGATACCTTATCTCCCAACCTTAGTTCAGATGTTAAAAAAGGAGAATTCTTTCACTTCACTTAACTCAGCTCAGCTTAGCTTTTTCTAGGAGCTCCACAGGGTGTCTCCTTGAAACAGAGAAGCAATCGCCTCATTTGGGGAGCGAGTTGTAGGTGGAGACCTCAGGCTATGACCAAAGCCTGCCCAAATTATATTATGGTTCATAACTTATTCTCAGTGCATTTAGCAGCCTGGGCACTACTAGATTAATATGCAGACGCATCTGCGGAATGGTTAGATGTGAAATATGGCATATCTGCTTGAATGGTTCAGGAGATATAATTTTCTGCTCTCCTGTAGATGCCAGCTAGGGGGTGTAATATACCAGGTGATTTGTATCAAAGTTAGCCATCCAAATCTGTGCTCCATGTTTGTGTAAGTCTTTCATAATCCAAGATATGTAATCATAGGGGCAAATGGATGTTGAATGTGGTGTCTGGTTTATGACTTATCTGGAATGTCTTTGAACTCAGTGAAGGACTTAGTTTATGGTTTTATAATATCCCAGATTGCACAGCTAACAGACAGCTAGGCCCCAGCTCGGTTGTGGGATTTATAGCCATGACGCCCTCCCATGGAGTTTGCTGCCTGTGATCTGCATCAAATAGACCATTTGTCACTCAACAGATAGGGAGGGGGGAAGAGGACAGCTGATTTGGGAGCAGAGCATGATAGAAGATGGAAGACCCTTGACAAGATGAAGGACCGCGTCCACCTCTGTATGCATGATTGCTACATAGACCCCTTCAAGAGTTGGTTCTGGCCAGCTCGGTGGATTGCTTTAAAAAAAGCCGGGATTATTTCCTAGATACACCGAATATAAATAGATACTAACATTTATAGGTAAAGTTGATCCAGGGAATATCCGATTGCCTCTCAGGGGAACAGGAAGGAATTTTTTCCTTGCAGGAGTAAATTGGATCGTGCTTTACTGGGTTTTTTTGCCTTCCTCTGGATCAACTGTGGGTATAGGATTATAACTTTTTTTAAATTGTTGAACTGGACGGACTTTTGTCTTTTTTTCAGCAAGACTAACAACAGTATGTAACATGTCCTGCAATTTTTGAGCCTGTGGGATGAACTGTTTCTGATTTTGTCTTATAATTTGCAGGGTACCTGCAAAATGATGTAATAACTCACTCAAGTTCTTACCAGGGGCGAACTGACAACTCATGGGGCCCCCGGACAATAGGGGATCATGGGGCCCCTATCTCCTTGC